TATCGCTCACACCCCATTCATTCTGTCTCTGTAGACATCTGTAGAGTTTCTTGTGTTTTGACACATGAAATTTGGAGTCAGGTTAAGAAAACAAAACAAAACAAAAAAAAAAAACAAACAACCAACCACCACTTTGTCAATAAATCAATTCTCAGTAAGGTCTGTCTTTTAAATTTTATTTTTGTGAGAATAAACGTTTACTGGCCTCATATCATCCACCATACCTGAGTGACTTTACTCCTCTGTTCCCTGTTCTTCATGGGAAAACACACCCGACTGCCTCATCATTCCCTGCATACAGGAGTACGTTGTCACTGGCTGTAAATGGAAGAGGGAAAAAAAACCACAAACCAAGCAGTTGAACACTTGTGTGTATAAGCCCTTCATTAGGTTTCTTGCACTTCAACACACACTTGAAGAAAATCTTTCATTACATTTTAAGGATTTCTTAATTATGACATACCATCTTACAAAACTAATTATTTCAATTGACTAAAAAAAAACTCCAAAAACCAACCTAATTTAGTTTGCAGGGTGTTTCAGCTATTCACCTCAAAGATAAATGCACCTGAAGCGCTAAAGCTCACCTGCGGTCTAGGAATTCCAGGGCACAGCCACTGCCGGTTTTGAGCAGTTTTGCCTCCGTTGTCTAACTCAACTCACAATACTCCAAACTCCAAATTGCTGCTGACTGGGAGAGTATATTTGTGAGTCATCATTACTGCTTATCCAGAACCAATACCTTTCCCAGGCATCCTCTGCTAGGTGAACATTTTACCTGGCCTACGCAGTCAGTCCCTGTCACGTAGGACAGCCATAACTGCATTTCAGTGCTATTTACAGTTCATATTAAAAGTTTTGGAGTATGTACACACCAAGGCTGCTGATGTCTATCCAGGCTGCCTGGAACAGCAAGGCTTCAAACTAAATCTAGTAATAAACTCAACCCTCCTTGCTTCCTCAGGCACTTAATATTCCAGCTGACTGGCAGGTAACTGGGAAGAACAGACAGTTTATGCCTCATCCTTTCCCTTGACCCCAGTCTCTGTTCACCGGGGAGGTTGAGCTGCACTTTCTTCTCTTCCTTACCTCCTCTCACAAGATGAAAACCTTACACCACATCTTTCACAAAACACTGGCTAGCACAGAAGTTTTCTTACACTGCAGCTTCCCATGACTGGGATATAGCAGTTATCAAAGATACCACCTGTGGTGATAGTCTCTGTCAGGCAAAGAGGTTAATCAGGCAGACTGACATCATGTCTTTACACCACGAACAAATTGTACATATATTTGCTAGTAAAAGCAGAACTGTTGTTAGACTATAAAAAAGAACCTCCTCCCCCCCAAAAAAAACCCCAACCAAACAAACCAGAAACAAAACAAAATTCCATTCATTGTTCACTGTATGTACAGATATGTTGTTAGCTAATGTTGAACTATTGTTACTATACATGTTTTTTATCAGATCATCAGTGGTCAAACTAACCACCTCACGACAGCCACAAGCCAGTCAGAAGGGAATGATCTGGGTATGGTTCCTTTCGGACAATAATGATAGTATATTGGGACAAATGTGGACTCAAACACACGTCACCTTTTCCTAATTAGGATTACCACCAAATTTGACATAGGTGGACAGGCCACCTTTACTTAAACCAGAAAAGAAACATATCAAATTCATGTTTATTAAATAAGCATTGGTACATTGAGCCATGGGTTCTCTCCTAGAAAACAGTGGCAAATTCACTACCTCCTGCCTACAGTCCCCTGCACAGCTCAAAGCTGAGCTATTGCTTGATGCACATCCTACGTGGACCTTCTCTTTTGTTCTTATCAGCCTGATATTTAAAATTTAAATATTTTTTTAAATAGTACTATTAGCTTGCAACAAAGCCTTCATTAAATCCAGGGTTACTCTCTTATCTGCACAAGGTAAGAAGCTAGCTAGCTACTTGAAGTTAAGTGTTTATCTACTTGCTGCAGGGAGTTCTTCAAGAGGTTACTATACAGGCCTTCCCTATATGAAATATATCAGACCTATTAGTAATTTGAAATCAGCTTTTTTCCTCGGCTCCTTCAGTGCTTCATTTTTTACTTTTCTTTCAAATTGTTTAACACTGGAATTCTAGCATAAGAATTGTTTTAACCAAATCTGAATATGTCCACCAACTATATTAATATTACTTAGAATCCTATTGTCTGTTTTTTCCATGAAGGTCAATTATTTCACTGAAGTATCACAGTAGAAAGTGGTTTAATATACTAAACAGAAACTGTTCACTAGATAACACATTAAAAAATTTAAAATATGAGACACAATCTTTTTGAATACTTCTGGAATAAGATTTACCCTTAATGTCCACCAGAGCTGTCCTCCAGCACACTGGTCACAACATGCCACAAGTCCAACACTTAAGGTAGCTGTGGAATATGAGAACAGCTAATTTCTGAATTCCAAGGTTGGTAGCAGCTACACAATTCTTATAAAAAAGGCATCTGCTTTTACGATATCTCAAAGAAGTTAAAAAACTCTGCTTTGACAAAAACCCCACCAAAAGGCAGCAAGTCATCCAATACAAACTGCCATTAAAATTCCTGCTCCTTTGAAGTTCTTATCTGTAAGTTGTTTACACATTTTTCATGTTTTGCTTACTTGGTCAGAAATTTTGCTTGTATAGACTAATTTTAGTAAGCTTCCATTCTTACACATCTCTGGTTACTATTAATATTGCAACACAGTATGAGTAAGGAAGTTGTTTTATAAGGAGATACAAATTGTGTAGGAATACTGTGTCCAGTTCTGGGCCCCACAGTTCAAGAAGGACAGGGAACTGCTTGAGAGAGTCCAGCACAGAGCCACCAAGATGATTAAGGGAGTGGAGCATCTCCCTGATGAGGAAAGGCTGAGGGAGCTGGGTCTCTTTAGCTTGGAGAAGAGGAGACTGAGGGGTGACCTCATTAATGTTTATAAATATGTAAAGAGCAAATGTCAGGAGGATGGAGCCAGGCTCTTCTCAGTGATGTCCAGTGGTAGGACAAGGAGCAATGGGTGTGAGCTGGAACACAGGAGGTTCCGCTTAAATTTCAGAAGGAACTTCTTTACAGTGAGGGTGACAGAGCACTGGAACAGGCTGCCCAGGGAGGTTGTGGAGTCTCCTTCTCTGGAGACATTCAAGACCCGCCTGGACGCCTTCCTGTGTGATCTCATTTAGGTTCCTGCTCCAGCAGGGGATTGGACTAGATGATCTTTCGAGGTCCCTTCCAATCCCTGACATTCTGTGATTCTGTGATAGTTCCTACATCAGCTTCGGGCCTTTAAATTATCAACTACACACCAAATGGATTAACATTCCTTAGCTGCAACATACTTTGATTTAGGCAAAACAGTCTGAAGAACGATTAAAACATACACATAATTAAAAGGTCCTACGGCAGTCTATTATCTTGTTAATTAAAGCAATCTCCAAAGCCCTACTTAGTTTCAAGATCCTTAACACCAATCAGTCAATCACTAATTTTGTATGTTCATCAAGTGAAATAACAAGAAATAATGTTTCCAGACCCCCATCTTTGGAAAGGGGCATGCCTACCACCTATATATGCCATCCTGGTCACAGTCCATACTGTTCACGCTCCTCCCACCCTGTCTCTGACACCACACTCAACCCCTTACACACCACTGTTCCCAAAGGCAAATTTATTTTTTTCCATTTAGGAAGTATTTGGAATACAAAGCCATAAGCATTGCTGAAGTAACTTCAAGCAACTATCTTCTACTCTAAACATTGGTTTTTTAGCATTAAGAGTGATTTGGTACATTCTAAACAGTCTGGCCAGCAAATCTTTACTAAAAGACCATTTCCATTCATTTTTGGCAACATCAGGTCACTTTTTTTGTATTGATCCTCCCTCTGATTTAGAAAGAATTAGGCTGATATGTTTACGTTGGGGTTCTTTTTTAAATTAACTCCTTATGAACCTGAAACATTATAATTCCACACAGATGTAAAGGCAAATTAAAAAAGGCAAAAGCAAACCCACATGCTAGAAATTAATTATATTCTCTAAATTATTCAGTGCTTAACAAATCTATTCAAACTCTATTCTATTTCTGCAAATTCACTCAAAGCCATTGAAGAAAAGCAATTCCAAGCATACCCACAAGCCAAACTTAGCATGCTGGATTGACAGTACACAGTAATCGGTTGTGAGACCAACTAGGATTGAAAATAATACAGTATAAATTCACAGTGAGTTTAATTTCTGCTGGTTTTCTTTAGTACTGCCAAAAAACTTCTGAAATACACTACGCTAGTGTAAAGTTTCTTCATTTATCACCCTACCTAACTCAAAACCATATATGATTGACTGTAAGTTTCTCTACATTTCATACAATCCTTTTAAAGTCCTTAGTTCATGACTATATGAGTTCCCATTTTGAAATCCCACCAGAGACAAGCCTTCATTGTTTCCTGATAAAACTATACTATCCTCAGCCAAGAAAATAGCATTTTAAACAAAAAAAAAAAAAAAAACCAAACCCAATAGTAGTAGTAATTTAACATCATTTGGAAACTAAGTGGTAAATGTATCATCAGACAAGTCCCAAGTTCTATGTAATGCCAAAATCAACAGGTGACAAAAATGAGTGGTTAATACTAGATTTGTGTCCTGGTTTTCAAACCACAACAATTTGTTTACTAGAAGCTACATTTCCCTAAAAAAGCAACATTTTCCTCTGTAATTGTTTGTGCAGAGATCAGTTACAGCCACTCTAGCAAGACATTGTAGGTATGCTATCTGTCCAAGCTTTTCAACACGTTGTGAGTTCACATGTTTCTAATCACATAATGCAATTCAAGGAGGAAAAAAAATAACATATGTGCTATTGTAAATTTACTCCTAAAAATCTTTTAGCTTGCTAATTTAAATTATGGTTTAATCCATGAGTTTATGCAATTTATCAAAATGGTGACATACAAAGAAAGAGACAGTAGAAGCTTTGGGAGACATTTTATTAATGTACAATTTTATTAGCGATGTACAATAGACATTTTAATTCTCTATGTATTCCATCTCCTTGAAGTTTGGTAAATGCTTGTTCATATACAAAACTACACGATGCTTTTTTTGTAAGGACCAGAAATCGTGAAAATCTAAGTGCTACAGTATATTTTGTAGTGAATAAACACATTGTCCAGAAGAGTTACCAGCCACCTCAGTGAAGCACTTCTAAAAATGTTTCTGATCAAGTTCAGATGCAGCTGTTCATAAATAATGATTGGTTTGCTCACGTCCATTATACTGCTAAGTACAACGGTCTCCAATATAAAATACCGTTTCAATACATTTCTCCAGATGGACAACTAGATAATCTAGTCATATTTACTTTTAACCAAGGCTAATACAAATTTACAAGTAAAGTAACTTTAGAATTTATTCAGAATAATTATTTTTCAACCAGAAGCTTTACTTTGGACAATGCAGAAGTATATTGCAAGTGACATTCTGCAGCAGAAGCTGGAGGCTTGAGAACAACAACTAAGAAGGCCTAAATATCAGCAATACACGCTTTTACAAGAACTCTGACCATTCCGAATGGTAACATTAAAGACCAGGTACTTCAGTTTGTGCACCTGTCAAAGAATCAAAACCTCCACACAAAAAAAAGAAAAATATCCCACAGAACACAGTATTTCAGAGAACAAGTTAGACTCCGGCGTGGCAGTTCTCAGATCAAATTGGCAACTGAAATTTAACATCCACCTGAGCTTGTTTTGCTAAGTTTACTATTTCAGAAAGTTTCACCACCTGTAAAACAGAAAATAAAGCGTTAATTTCAAAACAATCCTAACTTGAGTGAGCTGGACCAACCTTTTTAAATAAAGTAATGCCAGAGAATCATCAGTAAGATCTTAAAGAAGGGGCCAACTATTATTTAGCCCAGTGCTTCTTAATCCCCTTCAAATGAAAGATGAGTCAAGTCTTTTGGAAAACATCTCAAACAGTAATACAATGTCTGGTTCTCATTTACAAACAAATATATTGATAAAATGCTACAAATTTTAAACTTCATATGCCACCTTGTTTTCTTGGGAGGTGTTGGGGCACTCACTCACAAGAGACTTTAGGTATCTAGAAGCTATTTCTCCTCTCAGTTTTTGTTGCAAGCATTTCTGGATCTTATTTTGATACCTTGTGGAGCCTCAGCTTCTCTTGCATAACTCAAAACCTTTATGAATTATTACCTGCTTAGAATCAAATATTATAACTAAGTAGTTTTGGGGTTTGGTTTTTTTTTTGGGGGGGAATATTCAAAACTAACTCTCCCCATCATACAGATTCCACCAGATGCCCTCTAATATTTTGCAGATCAAAAATTTTCATCTTCACTGTTGCTACACATTTGTAGTATGTTTTTCCTGCCTATATTACCTAACTTCAAAAGCACCTAAAATACTAGTTAGAATAATTGACAGACATCTGTTGAATATTTAGGTGAAAAAAAATACTTTTAACATCAGTGGTTATAATCACTGCTTTAAATGCTCAGCTTATTACTCTGACCTATCTTCATCCGCTCATGGGATCAACTTATATAAGCCCTGTTTAAGGAATTACCTATGGGCAATATACAAAACCAACTTAAACCTTTCAAAAAATGCTTCTACAGGTAATTTAAGATTACAAAAGTGATTTTAACTCGTATTTGCATGGCTCCATGATTCAGCAGAACTTTAGATGCATTATGTAGATGCAATATAGCTTGAAGACTCATATGTACTGCCAGGGAATACTTCCATTTACCTAATTAAAGCTTGATCAGCCTAGTAGGACTTAATACTATTCCTTAAAACAGAGGGCCACACTGTCAGGCTAAGCAAGTTCTTCCTCCAAGCAATCCACAGCTGCTTCTAGAGCTTCAACCCCAGGAAACAAAGCAAAACAAAACACATGGGGGGGTGGGGGGGGGAGAATCACAAACAACCTGTCTGAATACCTAATTACCTTATGAGGCAACAGGATGATCAGCTTTGTTTGTTTTTAATCATGCACACTGAAATGCAGTGCTCTATCAAAGAAAGTGTTACACTGCATTTTTCAGCTACCTCAATTTAAGTATTTTCTTTCAACTAATAAAGCTAAGCTCTTAGCCATTCCCCTACCAATGACAGTGACTGATCTGGTCATTTACCTGTTTTGTTGGGTTTTTTAAATCTATTCTTTAACCTGCTTTTCAGAGGAAGGGAAAAAAAGAAAAATAAAAGTCCCAAACACAGAAATTTCTGGGGTATAATAGCTTCTGACTACATAGTTCTTCTCCTTGCAAAATATGTACTTACTAATTTGTAAAACATTTGCTTCTGGCCCTGGTAACATCTGGTGCTGTGATTTATCCTAAGCTACCTTTAGTGGATTGAACAGAGTTTCAGCTTTTCAGTATTCTGCAACAGATGCCATGTTCTGAAAACAATATTCATAATCAGCAGTCTTACCATTTTTGCAGCTTCATCCAGGTCATCACATGCAAGGATTTTGAGGCCACTAGCCGTTATTAAAGCTTTGGCATCATCAACTCGTGTACCTTAAGAAACAGATAAAAATGCAGCTCTTACTGAACAGGAGACTACCTCTTCCAGAATATCCTTGCATTTTCTAAGAAGCCTGTTCTAAAAATAAGTTAGTGAATAAATCTAGAAGACAATTTTAGTGGTTATAAAAGCAGGAAATCTCTTTTTATTGACTTGCCAATCCTCACCATCCTTGTTTGCCTTATTTTTCCATAGGCTTCAGCTTATAGGCAACTTGCTATGCAATATATAAGCTCAAGAAAATTTGTCAATATGGACAGAAAAACAATTAACACGTACTGAAGCACACTCACCTTGCAACCGTACCACAATAGGTATTTTTAGGTCCAAATCCTTTACTGCCATAACAATGCCTTGTGCTATCACATCACATCGCATAATGCCACCAAAAATATTTACCAGAATAGCCAGTACCTAAAGAATCAGTGACAATATTCACATTAAAAATGGTCAGAGGCACATCAGATAAAAGCACCACTCAGTTGTTGTAGTATGTTTTTCCTGCCTATATTACCTCCTCAAGTGTAAAGGGGACTCTGGGGTAAAGACAGGGAACATTTCTGTTCTACAGAACGTCAGTAACACAAGTACAGTTCTATAAAGGCACATACAGCAGAACAGTTACTTCAGCAAAACCCTATTGCAAAAATGCCTATCCTAGGAGACCTCCTCATTGTCCTTCAATCCAGCATGAGCTGCAGGCAATAGCCATTTCTCTTATCACAGTGTGTATTCTGTGTAGCTACTTGAAAAGCCACACACTCATTTCTGTACAAAGCCCACACTGTACATTAGTTCAGAATATTCTGAGCATGATTAATAAAGAGAGCTGTTTGATTTTCTTCAACCAAATCAAACAGATGAAACTTCAGTAAAGTCCTTTAAGAACTTAATTTGTCAACTATTTATCTTTCCATTTCTAACATTATTCCAGCACAGGTACCTCCCACACTAGCATCTCCAAATACTGAAGAAGCCATGCTAAAGAACACAGAAAATGTACAAAAACTTGTACACAAGACACTGTTTATATAGATTACTTAAAAGCTTAGAGGTAAGCTATCTTATGTTTTATATGTTTTATTCAGGAAGACTAGTCTTTTCCTACTTAAGTGGTGGAAAGGAGGGGTAAAGAGACTGTGGTCAATGGTGAAAGATGGAATAAACTAGGAGAAAAATGGGTAGGTAGACTTGGAGGACAGAAAAAACTTAACAGAACAAAATATTCATGTGCAACTGGTTAATAAACAGTAGCCTGGCTCTCATTATCTTGCAATTAGACTACATTATCTGTGTGATAAGCTCCTGCTACTAATGGGTAGAAGTAACTTAGACTGGCACCCCAGAAGGCTGTTCCAAACAACCCCTGAACTGAACCCATAGTGCCAGTCAGAGTGCAGTCCATGACACCAGTGGGCTTTACTGCTGTTTGACTTGCAGCACCAGGAATCCCAGCTACAGTCACTGCTTTCTGATAAAATAGTGAGCAGCTGAAGGAAGGCAGAAAAGGAAAGATACATTAAGTTTGGTTAAACACTCTCTGCCCATGCATCAGCAGAGAACTGGTATTGCAAGAACTTGTCCCAAATCAACAACCCCCAGATTCTTCCTTGTTTTGTCTCCTCTTCTGTCTGGAATTCAGGTGCTCTGTACTTGTGTCCCTCATTTTTCCCTCAGTTTGCTGAAGGAACTTGAAGAAACAACAAGTCTTATGAGGAGCAGCTGAGGGAACTGGGATTGTTTAGCCTGGAGAAAAGGAGGACGGTACACTTTATTGCTCTCTACAACTACCTGAAAATAGGTTGTAGCGAGGAGGGTGTCAGTCTCTTCTCCCAAGCAACAGGACAAGATGAAAGTACCTCAGGTTGCACCAGGGGAGGTTTAGATTGGATATTAGGAAAAATTTCTTCACTGAAAAGGTTGTCAATCATTGGAACAGACTGCCCAGGGAAGTGGTGGAGTCACCAAAGGATGTGTAGATGTGGCACTTAGGGACATGGGTTTAGAGGTGGACTTGGCGGTGTTAGTTTAACGGCTGGACTTGATGATCTTAAAGGTCTTTTCCAATCTAAATGATTCTATGATTCTGTAATGCTCTTGGAGAGTGTGTCAGACCCTGCCTTTGTTAACAAAAATAATTCCAATGGGGAAGAGACTAAGCTCCTCTGTAACATCACTCACTATTTGTTTCTGACCTTTTTCAAAGATAAGCAAGTGGTGCATAAAATTCTGGTGCAAAAGTAGCGTACCATTACCAGGTTCTGCAAGTCGCTCCCACCTCTTTCAGTTAACTTTTTTTTTTTTTTTTCCCCCTTTTTAAAAAGTCTCAAACTGCCATTGAGTTCCCACTGGGACAATCACCTCTATGTAAACCATCAATCCAGTCCTTGCATTGTCTTTCTGGGATGGTAAAGCTCTTCCTCTAGTTTCAACCAATTTATTATTTTAAATAATATTCAAACACTTTGGATAACTTTCAATAGGATAAAACATTAATGCCCTTTAAAGCCCATTACAAAATTATTTTATCTTACATTACTCATAAAACCAACAACAAAACACCATCTGAATTCTAGTTTCTGTTTAAACAGCAGGTGGAGGGATTTCTGGAAAGATTCAAATACAGCTGTAACTTCAATGGTAGGACACAAAGCTGCCTACTCAGCGCACAGCCAAAGAACCTATTTTTAAAAAGGGGAAAAAATTTAAGGTTTTCAGGCCTTCTTCATTTGCACCAAGATTAAGTTACCATCTCCATTTTCTTCTCTTTTTAATTCTATGCTTATAAAAACATGTTTTCTGGAGAACATGCACTAAGCATTATTTTTCAAATCATAGCCTCTTTTACCACTGTGCAGGACCTTGATATGCCATCTCTTCCCTCACCTTTTTATCAGAGGTAATAAGCTTAAAGGCTTCTGTCACTTGCTGCACTGTGGCACCACCACCAACATCAAGGAAGTTTGCTGGAGTTCCGCCGTGAAGTTTAATTATATCCATTGTGGCCATAGCTAAACCAGCACCATTGACTATATGAGAACAAAGATAACATTTAGGAATTCAGTTTATACATCCATTAGGTCATTTAAAATGCATTACATAGAACATACCTAAGCAGCCTATGTTTCCATCTAATCCTATATAGTTGAGATCTGCTTTTGCAGCATCCCTGTCTCTTTGATCCTCCTGTGTCCAATCCTGCATATCAAAGATCTTCTTCTGACGATAGGCTGAATTACTGTCAAAGTTTATCTTTGCATCCATACACATAACTGAAAGAAAAAACAAAAAATAAATCATTTAATACCAGAATAATACCTCAACTGCTACATGATTATGTTAAAGCACATCAAGTCAAACTTAGCAGATAGCTCATGCAGTTCAAAAACTTTTTGCTGAAAAGACACGCTTATAGCACCACGTGTAAATACAAGATTTCCCCCTAGTTTGCCCACACAATCAGTTAAGTCCCTTTAGCAGCACAGAAAGGGCAGACAACTGTATTTCTTGAGACATTCTAAAACCAAAGAAGCTTACAACCAGCTGTTTGATAAATCTGGGCAAATTATGCTTCAGTAATTATGATAAAATTAATCTCTACAGAAGGTCTCTGTTTTGGTGGTTTTTTAATCCCTCTTAAGTTTTCTCCTTTTAGATTAAATATATAGTGGGTGTGTCTTCACTCACACAATGAAAAAACACCTGAGTTGGAAGAAAATGTCAGAAAAATACACACAAAAGTTTTACTTTGATATAGCAGATGATGTGGAAAACCTGAGTATTCTTTACATCAGAACTAAGTTTCTGTCTGTACAAATGTAAGACTTGATATCATCTGTGGTGAGAGGCAAAAATGAAAATTACAAGGCATGAGAAACAGACGGGAGAGACTGCTCCGAACTGCTCATTTAAACAATATTATTTAAAAAAAACAAAAACTGTAATTGTAAGCTTTGATGAAGGAACTACATTCATGTTTAAATTTAAACCTGTTGTACCCAAGTTCAAGTACAAATGCACTCCACAGATTATTTTTTTTGGTGAGAGAACTGGCCGTGATTGAATATTAACTGACTATTCTGCAACTGAATATGCTAAAAACCTTGTAAACACCAAGATATCACTTAAGCATCTATAGTCTTTCAATACACCAAGCTAAATCAGTCATTCTGATGCCTAAGTAGTAAAAGCAAGATATTTCTACAAGATGCTACTATTCTGGCTACCTTTTCAATACCAACTTTGAATACACAAGATGGTTCAAGTTTCAATTCATGAGTTTTGGAAAGACCTGATTTCCAGAAATGCCTTATGCTGGGTACCTAAACACTTGAGAGTGGAAGATGTGTTCTTTTTAAATAAAAAATTCAAAAGGAAGCTATTTAAACTTAAGATCCTACTCAGCAATTAAGAGCAGATATCTACTATGTTCAGATTCTCAAATTTATATGCTTTATTAAATTTGTTTTTCAACATACCATGTTAATGCTAAGTCCTCTTGATGTATTCATCTGAAGTTTTAGAAGTGCAAAGCAAATAACTTAGATTTACAAAAGTGTCAAGCTGTTACATGAAGAATATGAAAAAAAAACATTACCAACTCCTGATGCATCTTCCACCATAGGATTTATTTCTATCATGGTAGCATCATACTTCAGAAAGAGATTATATAATTTGATCATATTTTCAGCTGCTTCATCCACCAGATTAGAAGGAAATCCCATTTTTTGGGCAAGCTGAAAGTAAAAGATTGGTTATCAGTTAAGTGGTGTTTCAGGTTTGATTTAGTTACAAATTAGGAATGTCCCAGTTCAGCTATTATTTCAGTGTCAATTGAATTTGTAGATGTAGATCCTCTCCTGTCTTCCTGGAAAAATTAACTCTTGTGTTTGAAAATACTGCTCTCAACACAGAACACTGAACTTATCATAAAAAAGAGCTAGTAAAAAGTCATTATTATATCCCTTTACAAAGCTATACAAAAGCTAGATAAAGCACTGCCATGCAGAGTTGGATTTACATTGACTATCACCTAAAAATACTTAAACATCTAGTTAAACCTGTTTCAAAATGTCAAAAGGGTTTAAGACAACTCAGCAGGTTGAATGCATGCACACTTTACAAAATTTAGAAGCAACCCTCCCATCCTCACTAATGTGTACTCTTCCACATTAACAATTACCCTAACAGCTTGTTCCTTTTTTATGCCTTCTACTATATCAATGGGTTCCTTAATTATCGCATCAGGATTCTCTGCAGCAACATCTTCAATATTAACACCACCCTGAGAACTGCCTATCAGCACAGGACCCTGGAACAAAAAGGAAAAAAAAAACAGCATAAGTAATTTTATATTTAA